TTAAGGGTATGATCTCCTACATCAATAAGAACAACACGCCCATAACCAACGCTGGACTGGCAGAACAGCAGCGCCGTATTAAGGGTATGATCTCCTACATCAATAAGAACAACACGCCCATAACCAACGCTGGACTGGCAGAACAGCAGCGCCNGCTGGTGGAGTGGGCTGGTGGAGTGGGCTGGTGGAGTGGGCTGGTGGAGTGGGCTGGTGGAGTGGGCTGGAGGAGTGGGCTGGTGGAGTGGGCTGGAGGAGTGGGCTGGAGGATTGGGTTGGAGGAGTGGGCTGGAGGAGTGGGCTGGTACGCATTTAGACGCATCACGTCATGACGGCAGACATGACGCGTGAAGACGCATGCATGCAGCGGACGGAGCGTGACGCACGCCACACGTACGGCCGCCATAACTCGTGTGCCATAATGCGGCGCATTACTGACATTAATGGGGAGGGGTGGTGGTGATGGTGGTGATGGTGGTGGCGGTGGTGGTGACGTAGCCTTCAATCCCCCACCCCCTACCTCCTCTCTGTCCCTCTTCATCCCCCCCATCCAGCTTTTTCCCCATCCCCCTACCCCCCGAGCTGCTGGGGCTAAGTGACGGAGTGGCCCCCGTAGAGTTCCCCCTGCAGGGGCTGACCGAGGAGAACCTACGTTTGTAGACCAGCAAACAGATCCTTAGCAATTGGGCGATGCAGACCTAAAACTAGCAGGCTGGGCATGGACAGACCTTAAGCAAGTAAATCTTCTAGACACTAAACAAAAAAGACAAACAGAGCCTATGAACACAGATTAAGCATATCGACAGACCCTATAAAAGTAGGGCTGGCGGACCCTTCTACTTCAGCGCGATTAGGCTCTCCTCGTGTATTGCAGTTAGATTCCTGCTAATTCGGTGCGATTAGACCTTCCTCCTTAATTGCGGTTAAACCCTGCTCCTGCGTGCAGTCACACCCCGCCCTTTGCAGTGCGATTAGATCCTTGTCATGTCCTTGTGTTAAGTTCAGAACGTTCTCGTACATGGTCATGCTGATGCGCGGCCATCGTCGTCTACCGTCCGCAAGCCGTCGATAGGCTTGATATTCGTCGTCCTTGCCACCGGTGTCCGGAGCTTACGCTGAACGTGGCTATCGCGTATCTGCCCACATTTGAGCCAGGTGATGCAAAAAATGTAATACTGCCCAGTAACGATATTCCTTTAAACTCAATAGACCTCTCACAGTGATTCAACTTTTAATCGTCAACATCTTCACCACATAGACTGCATTCAAAACAAACGTGTGCAAGACAATTCCGCGAGCCAGCAGCATCGCAAATCATTTTTTCTCAGCACATCTACAAATAAACTTGAGATTCACGCGTTTACATCTTGTCTAGCTATTGATTATTATACGGAAGACCGGAGATCAGGTGGTGTTCGGGAAGCGCAGCGTAGTTGATTTTATGTTCATGTGAGGATAAAGCGGGTAATGGAATCTGATCCTGCGTCTCGGCAGCGCTGCTCTGGCAGATCCGTTCCTGGGCCATTCGAGGTACGGCTAAACATGGGCAACGCATTGAGCGATGTTAGTGTTGCTGGATGTTAGTGTTGCTAGATGTTAGTGTTGCTAGATGTTAGCGTTGCTAGATGCTGGTGTTGCTAGATGTTAGTGTTGCTAGTTGCTGGTGTTGTGTTGCCAAAGTGTTGTGTTAGTGTTGTGTGGCCTGTTAGTGTTGCTAGAGGTTAGAGGTATTGCTGGATGCCGGTTCTGTCCACAGTTGAAACGACTTCTTTTTTTCTTTTAAAAATAATCAGAATATTGGTTTAAAATGAAAATAGAAGCTATATAACTTTTGCAAAGTTTCGGACAGCCTTGTTTCAATGTTGGATGAGTGACACATAAATTAATTTTTTACATTTAAATCCTTACGTGACGTTTCAATACTCAAAGAATCGACAATTAACAATTTAACCTAACTTTCTTAGAATTTCTTCTAGCTTCATCATATAGCACTTTTGTGATTAAATTGTATAGATAATATATAGATATATTTAAATTTTTCTTTACAGAAGGAACACTGATGAATCGTCATTATGTAAATACATACATTGAATTTCATAAACTCTTGAAGTTACAGAACCTGATAAAGCGGGCTAATCTTATTTTGCAATCCAATGAAAATGCAGTGTACTATAAAATCTACTGTAGTCCGCCGGCCAATAAAACGGAAGTCGCATCTATTTTTTATGGCGAGTTTTCGATTACGTGCTTTTGTGGTCGGAGATTCAACGTCAATGAAGCGATCGTTAAGCAACGTTTAAAATTTTTTAAAATTAAAGCTCATGGTAGGTGGTTGAAAAACTTGACCTGAGTAAGCAAATAATTTTCAAGAATAATTCGATGACGTTCGTTCAAACTTTAAGTAGTTATATGATAAACAATCTGCAATTGATCGAATTCACACACTGAACAGATGAAAAAAGTTTGTTCGGCATCAAATAATCGGAAAACGGCGATGGTTCAACGTGAAATTTCGGTTAGCTCGTGTCTCGCTCTATTTTCGTCACTTTTCGACGTCGATTTGACAGGGAATTTTATTTGATAAACAATGCAACATAATATAAACTCATAGTCCACTTTGTTTCAATTTCGCGGATCTAGTACGTAGGTCGGCGTTATACCGCTCGCTTGGACAGCATACTTCGTGATGCTTAAGCCATACAAGAGAGCAAAACAAAACTTGTGCCTGCAAAATTTTTTAATTCTAGCTAAGAAGCTATTAAGAAACCCCTTATACTTTTAGTTATTACCGACCTAATGATCGTGCGCAACAAGTTCGCGCAAGTGCTTCATAAGGCCACTCATTCGTCCTAAGATAATTCCGCACGCCGAATTCCTAAGACAATTCCGAATTCATTTCGGACCGCACGCAGGGCTAGATACCAAATGAACTACTGAATTAACATGCAGACTATCGCACGAGGATAAATAATTGTGTCAAATTTTAAAGAAAAGAAGACAGCAAGAGGAAACGTTTGGCGCGCAGGGAGTCTATCTAATTCACTTAGGCGATAAATCCATGTTTAGATCATGGATTGCATATACAATGTTAGCGTTCGCCGCACAGCAAGTGTGAATGCAGCAGCCGATTCCAAAAAAAATTAATTTCTAATCATCGCTTCAATCCTGTCTCCATTGGATCTTACTGAGCGATACCTCATTACATGGAAATGCTTGCAATTTGCACTGTTCATTCATGTTCCTTATACTGACGTGACTGACATGGTAGGCGGACGTGAGTAAACTTGATTTTTCTGACGTGACGGTCCGAACCTCAGATGCCTGAGCCCAAGTGTTCCGTGAACCAGCCGATGCACGCATAAATACAATGCACTTCTTGGTATCAACTTCCTTTAGAACGCAATCTTTGTAAAAATTCCGAGGAGGACGATGAAATTCGGTAAAAACCATTCATTAAATTGATCGGTACTTTCATTTGCATCTTTCGTAAATTGCAGAATCCTCTACAATGAAATGAGATACAATTCATCAATTCATTAAAAAATGTTCTCCCTCAACCCCTTACAACCACACTGGTGCCTTTTCGTCCCTATACCGGCCCCCACCGACAGTCCCCCCACCTCCTTATTCCATGCGGGAAAAATGTTAAAATTTGTGGCGTGCGGCGCAAAAGTTAGCCAAGCAGCGCCACTTTCTCCTCTCTAATGGCTACCTGAGACTGCCACTCAACGCAAGAGCTTTTACGACCGCAAAAATATCCTCTAAATGAACGCTATAAAAACCTGCTGGCTCATCAGCCACCGCCCCCATGCAGCGCCTTCGGCAGTGCCTCGTGCAGCAGCAGCTTCTGCAGCAGCTTCTGCAGCAGCTTCTGCAGCAGCTCCTGCAGCAACTCCTGCAGCAGCTCCTGCAGCAGCTTCTGCAGCAGCTCCTGTAGCAGCTCCTGCAGCACTTCCTACAGACCCTCCTGCTAAGCATTCAGCAGCGCCTCCTGCAGCATCTTTTATGGCATTTTATACAGAGGCTGTTGCAGAACCTCCTTTACAGAACCAAAGGATAAATCAAAATGGATAAATGACTAACTGAGAAGGAATGATTTTTCTACCATTCGAAGTTATGATAAAAATTCCGCAGAAGAAGATTTCAGCATGTCCCTGTTAAGAAATGAACAGAATCTGCAGCCTGCACTGCCTGGTCAGGAAAGCCTCGCAACGTTCGAGAGTGATTTGGTATAGGAAGGCTTACGTACTGCAAGACATTGCCACTAATAAAGGTTAAATATCAAAACAATTCATTAGCAAAATATTTGATGAAATGGAGTGATATGAAACAAAAAATGCATGACACCCATGATGCTTCGAATATTGGATTGTATTTTGATGGATGAATTTCAGTGAGAACAGCAAAACTAATTTCGAGGGATGAGTGCTTCATTGAATACAAGTTTGTGCAAGGGCGATGACTTCCTAAAGAAATTTTTGTTAAAACGTATAAGTTAAGTTGAATTTGAAATAATTTAATCTAATTTTTCATTTTATATTATTTATTATTATTTAGGGACTCTTAGAAACAAAAATGTATTTTAATAGAATATTTACATAGGAGAATTTTTTTTGATAATTTTGGAATAAGCTAGGGAGCTATGAAAAATTGATCATCTGTGATGGCGCTGTACAATTATAAAGATTGGGAAATATTTTTTAACCTTATAGTATACAAACATATACAAAATTGTGAGCTGTTCCCATTACGGCGATTTTTAAAACATTTTCCAATTATTACATGTGAGTAAAAATATTGAAATTCTGCGAAAAGATTTGTCTGTTGGAACAAGGTTTTTTGCAAACGATTTATAAAATGATACATAAAAAAACTATAAAATAGAATCTCCCGTTATTACTGATCTATACTATAGAGTCCCACCTAAAGCTGGGACACAATGAGCCGCACTTAAAGAGACCCGCCCCCTCACACGGGCCAGGAGGGCAAGTGGGTCCAGCGGGTCACATTAATGTGGCTGTGAGTGAGCAATCGATCATGAAATATAAACGTGAACTGCAGGTCTTCCCGAGGGCAGCGAGGGACGAGGCCTCTGCATCGTCGAGGGCAGCGAGGGACGAGGCCTCTGCATCGTCGAGGGCAGCGAGGGACGAGGTCTCTGCAGCGTCGAGGGCAGCGAGGGACGAGGCCTCTGCAGCGTCGAGGGCAGCGAGGGACGAGGCCGCTGCATCGTCGAGGGCAGCGAGGGACGAGGCCGCTGCATCGTCGAGGGCAGCGAGGGACGAGGCCGCTGCAGCGTCGAGGGCAGCGAGGGACGAGGCCGCTGCATCGTCGAGGGCAGCGAGGGACACCGGCTTGTCCCTCCCGACAGGACGAAGGCTCGACGATGGCCTCGACCGTCTAACCATTGATGGATTAATAATCAATTGATGCCCCTACTGTTACCGCCTCCTGTTGCGCTACTGGTGCTACGCCGTATTGTTGTTCATGAGACTTTGTGTTAACTTTAAAATTATTTTTTCTTTTAATTTTTGGTCGTCTGGTCCTCTTGCTTTCCTCCTGCTACCCTCTATCTACAGCCCGCACTTTGCTGCCATAATTCAATACTTTCAATTTAATATCCTACTACTAATTCTTTCACTCTCCATTTAATCCTGCTGCTATTTTTTCAGTTACCCTCATCTGTTGACTCACTTCTGTTTACCTACTCCTACTCCTATATTTCCCAGCCACGTTAGTTCCTCTTGTAGCAGAACTCTTGCCTACTCTTGGCATTATTATGGTTATTTTATTATCACCATAATCTTTTTTTCATGTGAAGCCACAGTCCTTATAGCCTTTTCCTACTACCCTCCTGTATTACCTTATCTCTGTAGCCTCCTGTTGCCCTGCTTCTGTTAGCCTCCTCCAGGAGCCCTCTTTCGTAGCCCATCTGTCTCCATTATCACTCGTCCTGCCTCAACCCTCATCCCCTTCCTCCCCCTTCCTTCACTCATTGCCTCCCTCACCCCCACATATACCGTTCTAGCTTTTCCTTATCCCATTCCATACTTCGCCGGCATCATCTACATTAAAAGTCAACTTGTCGATACCTGAAAAATTATACAGGTTACTTTCTCACCACACTTCCTTGGATCGCTTCTCAGCGACTTAGAAAAAAAAAAACACCCAACGACCTAGTCATTGAAAAAACACCCAACGATCTAGTCATTGAAAAAAATCCAACGACATGGCACTGAAAAAACACCCAACGACCTAGTCATTGGAAAAAAACTTTCAACGACTTATTCATTAAAAAACCATCCAACAACTTAGTCAATAAAAAAACACCCAATTGCTTGGTCACAGAAAAAATCCCTGAAGAGAAAATACAGAAAATACACAGTATGCATCCTGTTCAACAAACTATTTTCTGCTGTCGTCACGTTTGGTGAAGAGTTGCTCTGGAGATAAGAGGTTACCAGAGAAGAGTTAGTCTGGGGATGAGAGGTTACCGGGAAATAGTTTGTCTGGAGATGAGGGAGAAGAGATAGCCTGGAGATGCGAGGTTACCAGAGAAGAGTTAGTCTGGAGATGAGAGGTTACTGGAGAAGAGTTTTAGTCTGAAGAGAGGTTACCAGAGAAGGGTTAGTCTGGAGATGAGAGGTTACCGGAGAAAATGTTTTCAGGAAAAGAAGGTTGTCGGGAGAAGAGGTTGTCTGGAGAAGAAGTAGTCTTGAGAAAAGGTTGTCTGAAAAAGAGGCCAGAAGGCTCTGCAGGTTGCCGGCGCTGTTAGGAAATTCGTAAGCGAGTAGCAATGCAAAAATTAAGACAGAAATGATGAGAGAATGAGCCGGTTTGTACAGACGAATGGGTTGGCAGTTCATGAGTAATATACGCTACATGATCAAAGCTTAGCAGCTGTCGAGTCTGACTGTACCCGAACAAAGATTTTCAGTTCACGGAATTAGGTGCGCAAATGCAGGGCGGGCCATCGTTGGGCTGTACGTGCGTGGAAGCAATCGCTCGGAAGATCGGTTTATTAAGAGCACGCCAATAATTGCCTGTCACCACATCAGCGCCAGCAGCCTTCACTGCCATGAGGGAACTGTAGGGCCAGATAGTCATGTAAATGTGGCGTGAACCTGTTGGGCCACATCGAGTCATGTAAATGTGGCGTGAACGTCACAAGGGAAATGTGGGGCCACATCGAGTCATGTAAATGTGGAGTGCGCGTCACAAGGGACATGTGGGGCTACATCGAGTCATGTAAATGTGGAGTGAACGTCACAAGGGACATGTGGGGCCACATCGAGTCATGTAAATGTGGAGTGAACGTCACAAGGGACATGTGGGGCCACATCGAGTCATGTAGATGTGGAGTGAACGTCACAAGGGACATGTGGGGCCACATCGAGTCATGTAGATGTGGAGTGAACGTCACAAGGGACATGTGGGGCCACATCGAGTCATGTAGATGTGGAGTGAACGTCACAAGGGACCTGTGGGACCACATCGAGTCATGTAAATATGGAGTGAACGTCACAAGGGACCTGTGTGGCCACATCGAGTCATGTAAATGTGGATTGTACGTCACATTTACATACACGTCAGGGACATGTGGGGCCGAGCGTCACAAGAGAGGGCCACATCAAGTTTAAAATAACACTAAACAAAGTTGACAATGAGGTCTGGTTTGTCTTCATACAAAAGGGACATTGATTTAACTAAATATAGAAGACAGTTCCCACACACAAGAGGATCTGATCGATCATCGTGCAAATTTTTGCATCGGATCACGAGTTTCATTGCAAAATTAGTTCATTAGAAAAATACTTGCAGGGCAAACGTAATAATTTTAAAAAATATGATAGGTTCAAAAATTAGTCTTTAAATCCTTTAAGCGAATGAACATTACGAGTAATGCTTTACTTTTGAGATTTATAAAAGAATAGTCAAGAAATTAAATGCATTTATGCAGCTCCTCGTTAAAATTTGAGGCGAACGTAAGTAGAGTACAAAGCGCATCTCAAGTCGAGCGCATTTTTGTCGGTAAGACTTTAAGAAGTGCAGCCTCAGCCTCAGAAGGCGTATTAGTCGCACGTAAGTTCTTTAAAATCTTTTTAGCAGGCAAGACTAAGCACATATTTATTTTACGCAGGTTTTTCAGTATTCAAAAAGGTGATTTAACCAGCGCGGGCATAGCTAGCGCAGGTTTTCCTTTTTGAAGTTGATGAATTCAACCCACACATGTTTATTTTGCACAAGATTACAGAGTACAAATGTCTGGTTTGAACCAACACATGTTAATCTAGTGCATTCTTTTGAGTTTATAAATGTGTGGTTCGAACCCATTCATGTATATAACGTGCACATGTTTGCCCACTCAAGAAGCCAGCCCACTCATTTCCATCTTGCCCACTCCGTTGCCCACTCAGCAGACGAACTCAACACTCAGGCTTTGAGCGAACCTGGGATAAGCAACGGTCGTGTATAGGGTGTGCCTTGTGCGGGCTCTGAGGGCTCATTTGAGGGACAGTTTTTGGGGAGGTTTTGTCGAAGAAAAGGGGTTGCTGCGGGGAGGGTTGCTGGGGGGAGGGTTTGTCGAGGGAAGGGTATGTCGAGGGGAGGGTTTGTTTAGGGAAGGGTTTGACGAGGGAAGGGTTTAGTGAGGGAAAGGTTTGTCGAGAGAAGGGTTTGTCTATGGAAGGGTTTGTCTAGGAAAAGGGTTGTCGAGGGAAGGGTTTGTTTAGGGAAGGGTTTGGTGAGGGATGGGTTTGCTTAGGGAAGGGTTTGGCGAGGGAAGAGTTTGTCGATGGACGGGTTTGTCGAGATAATAGTTTGACGAGAAAGGGTTTAATGAGGGAAGGTTTTGTCGAGGGAAAGGTTTTTCGAGGAAATGGTATGTCGAGGGAAAGTTTGTCGCGGAAAGCGTTGGTCGAGGGAAGTGTTTTTCGAGGAGAGGGTTAGTCGAGGAAAGGGTTTGATAAGGGAAGGGTTAATCGAGGGAGAAATTAAGACAGTTAAAGGAACTGATCTCTGGGCTGAGACGTTGGGTGTGTTCATTGCTGAAAAGTTAACAGGAAGGCTTTCTTTATGGGTTCAGGAGGGCTCAGGAGGTAGGGTTTACTGAATTAATTCAGGATAGTTCAGGAGGAAGGGTTCACTCAAAGGAATCAGCAGGGCTCAGGAGGAAAGGTTTACTCGACGGGTTTAGCAGGGTTCACGAGAAAGGGGTCGTTATTAGCGGAGCGCGGCTTAAGCGCCACCGCCATGCATAACGCAAGCCGAGGTGGGAGTTTTGTGTCTGAAACGTGGGAGCTGGGTGGTGGTGGGGAAGCTGGGTGGTGGTGGGGGAGCTGGGTGGTGGTGGCTGGTGAGCTGGGTGGTGATGTTGTTGAAAGTTCGGTAAATAAGAAAATTAGTCGGCATATAGAGGCCTTTGTTCTCCTATATGAAGTGGGAATCACAATATCCAATATCGGATCCAATTGTTAACATTTTAGGTACGGTACGAAACAAATTCTTATACCTAGCAAATGTTACACAAGATTCACGTATATTGTCACTATATCAGAACATAGTTTACGTATAGGTACGCTACTTAAAACAGTAATTTCAAAAGACATGATGAATTTTATGAAGCTCATTCGTTAAAACGAACGAATTTTGGAATAACTAATTATTACAAATTGATTGAAAATCATCCACACACCCACCGACGTATGGTTGATGTGACGTCCACACACTTTACGCATCTTATCCGTCGGATGTGTAACCGTCTGAAGTGTAACCGTCGGGTGCGTAACCGTCGGGTGTGTAACCGTCTAAAGTGTAACCGTCGGGTGTGTAACCGTTGGGTGTGTAACCGTCTGAAGTGTAACCGTCGGGTCTCGGGTGTATTAACCGTCATTTAATAAGACTACGACTTTAGCTGCCGGGTCGAGCCGTGCCGGATTAAGCCTCGCAACTTGTCCGGCTTAACGCATCCGCAGTGTCGTGGCGCGACAGCCACGCTGACTCCCGCTAACGCGAACCCGACAACCGGAAACCCGGCAAGAAATCGCGAGCTGATCTCCGCGGTTGAACGCGCGCTGAAGATCTGCGGCATTTTGCGGATCGCGGAGTCGGCGAACATCGAGACACAACAACCTGCACTCAAAACAAAACTGAGATTTGGTCCTGAGTAGCGACTCACTTTTAGCTATTGTGTGGGTCATCCTAACCCAGTTTTGTCCCGGCTGCAGAACGTATCTGAAATACGTGCAAGAAGTATGTATGTCACTATTTGGAAAATTTGAATTCAATCAATTTTTATTGAGGCCATGGTTTGAGGCGTGCGTCGCCCGCGGAGTATTGTGGGTAGCGTGAATACTGATGTATAAATTACACTTAAATACTGAATACCACTTGAAATACTTGGGTAAAA